GTGGGTGGTTGCATTCTTTTCTAATGTATTTATGGTTATAAAGCTCTTTATTATAAGGCATGTATATTTCATTGGATAGGTGGAAAGTAGTATTCAGAAAGTTGATCACCTTGGCATTGGTGTTAGTGCTGATATTTAGTCCATGATTCTTGAAGAATTTGATGTTTTCTAAGTCGATCGGTTTGTTGTGGGTTGGTGTTACGTAGGAGAGTAACTCCGTCGTCTCTGTATGGGTCAGTGTTTGTGCTACCGAAAATATATCTAAGTCCCTACAGTATACCTAAGTCTCCACATTCGGGTGGCATTTTGCTACTGCGGAGACATAGGTATACCCAGAACTAACGTTTACATTGTAAAACAATAGACAACGTTTTTGCATTTCAATCCCTCCACTTTCTTACATCTTATATATTGGGTTGCAACAAAAGTTCGTAGAGTGATTTCGTATAACACGTGACTGAAATTTGACATATATCTACTATATTAGCAGTAGAGCCCGGCGTTGCCCGGGGATGTAACAGTAAGAGATAGATCAAGTATCGACCATCATAAAGACTGAAAAATAAAATTGACAAAGATTATTGTTTAAGGTTGACGGACACGCATGTCTTAATAAGTTTTTTTTTTTTTACAAATTAGTCAAACCCAAACTCTAACAAAAACATTGTTTTCAATTGTTATGTGTCTATCGATTGAATAGAATTTTATTATAAACAATTGTCTTGTAAATGGAATTTTTAAAGCATTCTGAATGTAAAAATAAAGAAAAAAAGTGTGCAAGACAATAAGAAACACTACCTGCCAAAAAAGTGAAGTTTTGTTGAAATTGGTTGAAAAATGTAGGAAAATCGATCCCATATATAAACGAACACACACACACACACACACACACACACACACACAACCTGGGTTTTATAATAAGTATAACTCAATTTGAGTTGTTCCCCTTTCATTCTGGCGACAGATTCGTGTTTTATCGTGTTTTCAAATTGATTTCATGCAAAAACAATTGTGTTTTTCCATTTTTTGGCGCTGTCAGAACCACCGCAAGGTAATTTTACGCAGTCCTATGAAGTTTTGTTGAAGTCGGTTGAAAAATGTAGGAAATCCGATCCAATATATAAACGTACACACACACACACACACACACACACACACACACACACACACACACACACACACACACACACAAAATCTGCGTATAATAAGTAAGATTCTGACATTCCAACCCGATTTTCCATGTGATTCGCGTGTTAATTGTGAATTTTAAACGTTTTTTACTGAGGAAAATGAAGTTCATTTTCTTCTGGAAAGGAAGAAAACGTTATATAAACAGCAAAAACGATATGTGTCATTTATTGAGATGGTGATGTAGCTGTTTAATGTTTCTCTGTTGTTCACGAGATTCAAAAGAGAAAATTTTGATCTGGAAGACTGCGAACCTACCGGCAGACCCGCAGTCGTTCATGATGACCAATTAAATATAAAAATTAATTAATTAAAAATAATCCATGTCATACTACACAAGTTATAGCACAGATCATCCATATATCTGATATTATCGCTTAGAGCCATTTGAAAACAGTTGGATACGGTGTTTGGGCGCTAAAAATAATAATGGACAGAACCCTCTTCTCAAAATCAATAAAAGGGACCCATTTTTTGAAAGAATGATCACGGGTTATAAAAAATGGATTGTTTAGAAAAATGTGTGGCAAAAAATATAATGAGAAAAATGAAATGGTCCACCGTTAACCACACCAAAAGCCAATCTGCATCTGAAGAAGGTTGTGCTGTGCATCTGGTGTGATTGGAACGTTAATTCAATAAATACTTTCCCCAACTGGATCGATTAAAGTCAACACTCGATTAAAAGTATCTGGAATTGGCCAATCGGAAGGGTGTCGTCTTCCATAGGGATAATGCCAGAGATTATGTTTATTGCAGATCTGACTGCTTAGTTATGATTGTCTTAATCCACTCGACGTGCTCACCTGACCTTGAATCTTCGGATTATCACTTGTTTGATCTTTGCGAAATTCTCGTAATGGGAAGAACTTCAATGGTATGGAAGCCTGTAAAAACCACTTAGCCAGTTCATCTACCGAGAAAGATGCCGAGTTCTGGGAAGATGGAATCATGAAGGAGATTCAAAGATGGCGAATTACATTGGGACAAAAAGAGAACATGTTTGGTTGAATAAATCTAGGCAGCTTAAAAAAATCACAAAAAAAGGGGGTTCTTGATAAAAAATAAACCTAAACAAAAAATAATAATGAATCAAAAATATAATAAATGAATAAAAATTAAAATTAAGTTAAACATTTGAAATGAGGAAATTAAAAAAATAAAGAATAAAAGCAAATTAAATAATAGTAATTTAATTAAAAAAAAAAGTAATTATGTTTATCCAAGAATATAATGCAACCTGTAATTCTTAGTATTACGATAGTATAAATATTTTTAACATTTAATAAACTATAAATTGAAACATTTAATATATTTACTTCAGGTTTATATATATATAGTTTCCTTTGTATAACAGTAAAACTATACAATACACAATTTCAGATTAGATGATGTCGCATAATAACACTCTTACGAAAAACAAATTAAAATTGAAAAGACATCAAAAAAATTATGTTTTATGAATCGTAGTTTAGAATATATGGTCGTCAGCAAAAGGAACAGACTAGCATATAAAATACTAACTGAATATACCAAAATCTAAACAAGTACAACAATTTAAATATCTGGGAAGTGTTTTAATGGGGAGTTCGATACTGAAATCTGAAAACGTATTGAGATATCGAAAGACTGCTTCCAAAAGCTGAACAAATTATTAGGAAAAAGAAAAATTTCATTAGAAACAAAGAAAACAGTAATTATCTGCTACGTAATATCAGCCTTCCTATATAGCGGTGAATACTGGACAATCTCCTCACAGATGAAGAAGAGACTTGAAGCAACAGAAACAAAGAAAAGAGTACTGAACTGTTATGTAATACCAGTCCTGCTATATGGAAGTGAATGATGGAAAATCTCCTCAAAGATGAAGAAGAGACTTGAAGCAATAGAAACAATAAAAAGAGTACTGAAGTGTTATGTAATAGCAATTCTTCTATATGGCGGTGAATGCCTGACAATCTCCTCCCAGATGATTTGAAGCAACAGAAATGTAGTTCTACAGATGCATGCTGAGAAGACCATGGATCAAACATGTGAGCAAGAAAGACGTTTTAGAAAAATGGAAACAAAAAGACACTTATACTTACCAACAGAAAGAAACAGTTGTAATTTCTAGGGCATATCGTGAGGAAAGAGAGCTTGGAAAATTTGATACTCACAAGACAGATTGAAGGCAAGATGGTCTGAGGAAAACAACGTTGCTAGCTTGAGTAACGGATGGTAGAACAAGGTTTAGGAGATAAGATAAGAAAATATATATGGAAAACGACAGAAGACAGGAAATGGATGTCGGGACAAGTTTTAGTAGAGATAACACGAAAACAATATGTATTAAGAGCTTCAAATAACAGGAAAATGTGGAGAGCCATGATCGGCAACGTCCTCAATGGAGACGGAGCATAGAAGTGAAGATGATGAGAGAAAGGGGAAATTTTCGTAATGACATATTACTTGCAGAGCGTCTTCTCTCTTTGGCTTCCGCAGGCTAGAATGAAAGAAAGACATAACTGTATGTGAAGAAAAATGCCTTGTGATCTTTGAGGATAAATGGTGACCTTAAATCCAATTTAATTATCTTATCACCTCCAATTTCCAGACTCAAGACAATGCCGGTTTGCCTGTTTGCGCGTTTGTTTTATTTATATCAATACTACAGCCGTTTGATGTTGTTGGATCAGTCCACAGAAATAGAGAGTATTTTTATTATATAAAAATAGATATGATATATGTTAATAATTTCATTTGGTTTATCTTTTCCCTGATGTGCGTATTTACGTCTACGAAACGGCCGATAAGTCTTTGAAATTTATTTATTCACTAAAAATCTATAAGTGAATATACTCGCGTGTTAATGTGGTTATACAAGTATATGCATGTCTGTGATTGTAAGTAAAAGTAGACATGTCTCTGCTTTAAAGAGCTACAAAAAACAGGAAATTATGGAGAGCAATGATCGGCATATTATCACGCAATGTCTATATGTGTGTGTATATTTATATATGTATAAATATATATAAAGTGTATTGACAGGCACTAGAATTCTCTTCAAATTTAATCTCTACGCTGATCCCCTAAAAAAAAAAAAAAAATGGGGATTTTTTTTTTCTCACTTGTCGTCTTTACTACAAACACCAAATACCAAAATCATTCAAACACATTAATTTCCTCTCTGGTTTCTTGCCCCCCCCCCCACAGCCCGGGTTTATTTTTCCCCCCTTTATTCCTTTCTTTCTTTCCCCCTCTCTATTCCTTTCTGTATCCCTCTATTCTTTTCTTTCCTTCTTTTCAGCCACCCGTTTTTAGTTTCCTTTCTTCCATTTATTCCATTTCATCATTTTAAGCTCTTTTTTCGTTTTCTTTTTTTAATTTTTCTTTTTTTTTTTTTTTTTCTTTTTCTTTTTTTCTTTTTCTTTTTTTTTTACAAGTACTTTTTATTTTTTGTTTGTTTTTATTTTTATTTTTCTTTATTTTACAATCCCTTCTGGCAGGCGAAATTCTCTCCGACAACGAAAGAACTAGGTTAGTAGAACAGTAACCTTTTATGTTTCTTAAACCGACGCACCCCGGTTCCTTCTCTTCAGCACTTTTGGTTGATCTCAGCGGCCTTCTTTCTTAAATCTGCTCCTCGGATTCAATCCATCTTCCAATTACAACTCGTGGTTCTATTTAGAAGCTGAATGTAACTTTTCCGATAATTTACATCCGTCATTTCATTAGAAAACGTTTTCAAAGGTTCAATCCTCAGAATTGCTACTGACACCATAACGGTTTTCATATCGTATTTAGTACTTTCATTAACAGTCGCATCTTTATCAATGATGATTGAGAAGAAGAAGAAGAAGAAGAAGAAGAAGAAGAAGAAGAAGAAAAAAATGTGAAGAAAAAGAAGAAAAAAGAACAAGAAAGAAGAGAAGAAAGAGGGGGTAGATAATCGACTTCCGCTGTAAATTTACAATCAATACAAAATACAAGAGCACATTTCGGAAAGAAACTTATTTTAAAATTCAGCAATTTCTTTTATCAAAATATTTGATGTTCTTGTAGATTTCTAAGATGACCTACTTATATTTTCCAGGGCCATGGCTCTCCGCAGTTTCCTTTCTTTAATATCTTGTTTCCAAAACTGTTTTTGAGAAAGTTAATGAAGTGCTTTCTTTTTTCCATTCCTTCTTTTCTGAATCCAGAATAGTGCTTCTTCTAGAGAAGACGTTCTCAACCAGGTGAGAATACCCCCAAGATCGGAATTTCAGAGATTCGTGGGCAGGGGGTGGGAAATATTTTGCTTTTTCTTCATTTTTATTTAAAAGATTTGGAGCCCATCATGAGTGCCAAAAAAGTCTCCTCTGTAAAAATAATCCCTTTAAATGTACAAGTAATAATATGGGAGAAAAAAATGAAGTTTTTCAATAATATATGTATATTATTTGGAATGCACCTTTTGTGTCGGGCAATCTTGGAAAGCGGGGAGGATGATATTCTAACTTACGGTGTAAGGGTGCATTGGGCAAAAATGTTTGTGAACCACTGATCTAGAGTGGTTTTAACTCAGTCTTGAAAGCCTAGTTTGCACTGCTTCAAGAAGAAATGGTTTCTTCAGACTGGTTTAAATTAGCCCTAATGGGGTTTTAGTCCGAGAGATATAGGGTCAGCTCTCTTGATAATTGAATTGTAGTATGTCTAACGTTGTTAGTTATGAACCTGTTTTCGTAATGGGGTATTTGAATTCATAAATAAAAACGATTTAAAATAAATAGTTATAAAGTTTAAGCTTTGATTTCGAAGGAGAGTTGTTGCGGATATTAAGGTTAGGTTTTCTGGATCTTTTGTGATAAATAATTAACTTGATCTTTTAGTTCTTTTGTTCGACTAGAGTAATACGCAATATACTTGTCAAAAACACAAATGTAATATTGTTATGGGACCTTACCCATAATAACATAATGGACTATTCCATACGTAATAAATACTGCGCCTCAAGAAGAAGCAGAGAGTTCAGTCTGAAGTCTGGAGTGAGGTCCGTCAGAAGTCTGTCAGAGCGAGAAGTCAGTCAGTCGAGTCAGAGGCAGTCCGAAACAGAGAAGTGTTCAGACAATTACTACTAAACCTGATTGTTCGTACTAACACTTTCTACCTCTCTGTATATATTCCTGTTTGTAATATATCTGTGTTATTCCATATACGTGTTCGAGTTCTTCTTTATTGGTTCTACCTTGGACTATTACCGTGGTACAAGGAACAGGACCATAACAAATATACACTTTTTAACTGCTAAATACGTCTAAAACAATTAATATAAAAACAAGTAATAAAAAATAAAAGAACCTTAAAAACACCATCAGCTACGAGCACGGCCGTAACGAACTGACCGTATTCGCGAATTAAAAATATGTCTGCCTTATAACCCATCATTTGCATTTTGTAAAACCAGGATCTTAAAAAAAATCTTTGATAATCCAAAAAGCGATTGGAACGAATAATCATTTCCTACACACACTAAGTTCATACACATTTCTTAACAAACAAGAAAAGCACAATAAAACCTTAACATTTGCATTTGGTAAAACCAGGATCTTAAAAAAAAAGCTTTGATAATCCAAAAAGCGATTGGAACGAATAATCCTTTCCTACGCACACTAAGTTCATACAAATTTCTTAGCAAACAAGAAAAGCACAATAAAAGCTTAAGAGAACTATTTGTTAGTCATTTTAATTAAACATGTATTAGAGAGAGATTACTGCTCTCTATCTATATATTTCTCTCTCTCTCTCTCTCTATATATATATATATATATATATATATATATATATGTGTGTGTGTGTGTGTGTGTGTGTTTGTGTGGATGTGCGTGTGTGTGAGAGAGAGAGAGAGAGAGAGAAACAGAGAGGGGAGTATAAATTTCTCTATACTGAAGAACAATGTTAGGCAAATGAATGACAAAATGAAAGAATTCTGAGTCATGCCTTTTCTCTTCAGGTGAAGTCCATCTAGAGGACTAAACGCAATACGCAGAATGTTTCCAGGTTGTAACTCAAATCATATATATATATATATATATATATATATATATATATATATATATATATATATATATATAATTGTAATTTCGTTTCGAACGAAAACACATTTATAAATAACAACGCTAGACATACTACAATCCGGTTATCAAGTCAGCTAAACCTATATCGGATATATATATATATATATATATATATATATATATATATATATATATATATATAATATATAGTGTAAATGGATATAAATCCGACAGAATGAAGAAATTTTGAAAAAACAAACAAAAATCTTTAAATGTAGTTAAAATGAAAGAAATGTCGACGTCTGACGTTTCGGTTTGTCTTGAAAAAGGTTTATTAAACCGAAACGTCAGACGTCGACATTTCTTTCATTTTAACTACATTTAAGGATTTTTGTTTGTTTTTTCAAAATTTCTTCATATATATATATATATATAAATCGTGGTATTCGTTTGGCCGTGATCTACCAAGTCAAAATACATGGAAATAAATTGAATAATACACATAAGAATCCTAATGTTTATATAGGATCTACCCAGAGTAGTTTCAAGAAACGCTATTACAACCACTTCAGTAGTTTCAATCGCGAAACCTATAAACATAGTACTACCCTGCCCAAATATATATGGAAGATCAAACAAGAAGATAATAATGATCCCGTTTTGAAATGGGAAATATTTAAAAAAATGTTATAAATATGAGTCAGGTGATAAGTTTTGTTCACTACGTATGGAGGAAAAATTAGTTATTGCTACCCATAAGGAACCTAAAAATTTATTAAACCAAAAATCGGAAATTCTTCGTAGGTGCAGGCATAGAAAAGGCTGGTTATTAAAATAGGGTTCTTTTTTTCGTCATTTCCTGATCAATAAAGTAGCAAACCCCTTGTTGTTTGTCGTATTCATTTTTTTTGTCACGTGGTTATGGTTATTTTGATTTTATCAATAAATACTGTTCCGTAATTTTCCACTCTAGTCGGCTTTACCCTGAAGATCCGTTTAGGTGAAACCTTGGTAGGTTTGCCTGGCTCCTTAGGATTACTTTATATATATATATATATATATATATATATATGACAAAATGGTAATAATTTTTTTGCAATGCGATTCGTCCTTTATGACTTCAACTGACTAAATTTGTTACGTTTTTCTTGTTATGTTAGATTTGTAATTAGCCTAGAAGGCACCCTTCGAGCGGACTTTAGACTGGCTATTATGGAGGGCGTTTGGGCCTTCGTCCTTTTATTAGGTTGGTGCAAAAATAATGACGTAATAATGTCGTTTTTGACGTTAAAAATACGTCAAAAAACGACATTATGACGTCATTATTTTTGCACCAACCTCATAATTTTAGATTCCTATGTAAGTTATAAGTTATAATATTTTTATTTTCTTTTAAAGTCATAATTCTTTATAATACTTACACTCTTAAAAGAAATTAGGGAACCCAAACTATGTAATATTTAGAATATGTCACAGTGTGTTTCCTAGAAAAAAAAAAAAACATATGAGCAACGTACCGTGCCCCGCCTAAATTTTAATTACGGTTTAATTAGACGATATTAATTTCAATATCGAAATTAAAGTTACACCTTTAATAAAGAATTTTCTTTTAAAACCTTTCACTTTGTTAGATATTTAAATTTAACTTTAAATGTGTTATTTATTTAATTTTTAATCGTTGTGTAACTACGGTAATTACTATCTGTTACTTCAGCTTGTTTATGATTCACCGAGATCAAATAAAACGGACGGACAGACACATGTAAATGGCGTTTTATTTATATAGATCTGTAATAAGTGTCACCAAAAATACATGAGAGAAACCACATGGGATCTAAATAAAAGATTATATGAACGCAAAAGTAACATTTTACAAAACAATCCCTCAAATGCGTTGGTTGGCCACCGTAATGAGAGTGACCACAATTTTGACATAAAAAATGCTACTCCGATCAAAAAAGAAAATAATTCACTACGACCGGGCTCTTACAACACTTCACCATTCCTGGCAGAACTTCTGTTATCACAATGTGGAATATCGACTAACAAAAATGATGGAAAGAAAAAGAATCTAAATGAAATCGGCTAGATTAAAAATAAAATTAAATAAATTTAAATTCCCAGCATTCCTCGTTCGCGCGCATGTGTAGACGCACCATCATAACAGATTTAGTACAATTATGTCCGTTTATTTATTAAATAGTATATATATATATATATATATATATATATATGTTTAAGTATTTCACCCCAAGCGAGTCGGGAGGCCACTAGCACGCAAGGGGGTGGTTACAGAGGATTTGGAGCGAGAGCAGATAGGAGTGATAGAGGAAAGGATGAGGAGAAGAATAGTGGATAGATCAAGGCAACTGGAGATGTCGATTGATATTACATTTGAATAGTTGGAGATTATAGCTATCAGGGAAACAGGAAAAGGGAAGGGAGTTCCACAGGTGAGAGGTGCGAGATATGAATCTATTGGAGTAGAAAAGACGGCTTCATTTAACAGTTTCAACAGTCAAAGGCTGAGAGCGGCATGACAGTCTCGTAACACGCTTGAATTCATGAAGTCTGAGAACCAGCGAATGCACCTCATCGGAGCAATTACCATGAAAGTATTTGTAAAAAAGATAGTGAGAGGCGACGACACGTCTGTGAGAGAGCGACTGCAGACGAGATGCCAGATCAGGGCTAATTACATTGCATATCCATCACTGGATATTATCAAGAACACCGAGGTAAACAGAAAGGGCTCCAGACTATATATGGCAGCAATACTCCATATATTAAAAAAAAGAGAAAGAACAGTAAGATTTATAATCCGGTGTTCTTAATAATAATTTTTATTTTTACAAAACTGTGCTCAATACAATTCTGCAAAGCATAAATATTATAAATTTACT